ACATAATGACCAACTTATGAATACAATCATCTTAATCCTGAATGTAACAAAACAGTTTTGTTCGTGTAGTTTAACTCGGAAAAGAACCCACTTGGTAGTGAATGTTTGTGCAGACCATTTGCGTGTGCGCGATTTGTAATGCCACCGTCCTGGGATGGTTATTCTTTGTCCGAAAAGTGCTACAATTCATGGGTATGCGTTTTTGAAAAGGCGATAAACAGCACAAATTCATTCAGTCTCTTGAACCCCGGGAAAAGTTGTTACTAGCTAATAGTCTAGCAAACTGTGTAACTTCCTGCTTTTTGAAAAACACGCAGGATACTTAAAACGTTTGTCTCAGCGTAACCCGCTAATATGGGTGTCACGAGCAAGCTTTTCAGTGTTTCCGGCAGTGATCATTGCGGGATGAGAAGCATTCACGAAGGCTGTCCTGTAGATGTTAACGATGCAAAGTAAAACTATTTTATGTCTTCCATTCCAAGAAACTTTCGACAAGTCATAAACATATGGCAGGAAATCAAGCACAAAGAAAGCATATTAGTCTCAAACTCCGGAATCCAAAACCATTATTTTCTCAGGTAAGGAACGGATGTTAAGGCTACACATAATAATGTCAAGTTTGCCAGACATAAATAGTTGACTAAAGACAGTCGGCAAAGAACTAAGATTTTTTGACAATTTCGCCGCGGAAAAAAATGGGTCAAAGAGGTATATAGCATTCTGCTTTGTGACCCAGTAACTCTGAGTTCAGACGAAGGCCGCATGGTGGAACGGAAAGAAAATGAAAACAGGAGTCAGTGTTGCTGATTTTTAGTGTTGTATGAAAGCGTGCATTACTCGGGGATTTCTGAAGACGGTCAACCTGACCACAATTTAGTCACGTCCAAAACAACAGACGGGATTCACTTTCATATCCATAAATGAGAAATTACCTACCGGCCAGGGTTGGGAGCATGAGCGATTGACGTTTTTCCTTCATCCGTCGATTCTGGAACCAGACCTAGAGATGAAAAATTCGAAAGTGAGCTACAGGCCGGATATATTCATGTTGCACTTTTTTTCATTAGAAGAACAAGAAATAAGGAGATTTTCATAAAGGAAACTACTCATGAGGTTGCTGAAAACTCTTTGATTCAGCTGGGTTCCAGATGAGTCTTCTGTCGAAACTAAAGTGATATGCAAATGGTGTACAAATCAGTACAATTTGGGTTCAAGTAGAACATAGGGTTGACGGAAACTCGGGTACTGCGTCTACCTGATGGGCCCCAAGAAAGGCAAAGCCGGTCCTGGACTGTCGAAGAGATTTCAGCAACCTCATGAATAGTTTCTTTTATGAAAATATACTGTGATGTCCGGAATATCGTGTCAATAGAAACATGAGGCGGCCTTTGTGCACCACATTCAGCAGAAGAAAATCATAAACGAGGGATTCAGTGGAGTCTCTCGAATGACCAAATCGATATGCAAATGATTGTACTTGTCGAGACAAAGCTCTTATCATTGCAACAGCAATGCTGAATCAGTGAATCACTCGATTTTGTCTGAGGTTTGAATGACTTAACGAATTTTCCGAAATAATCTTCCTCACGAAGCACGGTCGCATGCGTTGACAGGCGGGAAAACGAAAATGTGTTACAGCAATTCACAAAATAATCTACCGTCGCCAAAAACGTGAGAAGACGTGCTTTTTCACTCTCACTAGCGTTTACAGTGTCCACCAGTCTGTGGTATGGCTTAGAATAAGCTAAGCTTTGTGTATGAATGTAGTAGAACTAACGATTCCCGCCTCTGTGATGGTCCAACTGTATAGGCACTTGTATAGTCAAGTTGTACATGCTCTATAATGTATACCTACGGATGAACTTTCACACCAGTATTTCCCAGGTTTTCCATGCTTCCTGCTCGAACGCTAGTGTATTCGTTGGTTTGGGTTTTGTCATGTCAGCAGAAGAAAAGCGATCTTGTAACCCTACATTAACGCAGTATAATACATGCAGAAATCCCGGTACAGATTATTATGTGAAGAGTCAGTCACACCCGGTGATGCTAAGAAAACTGCTTCCTTCTCAGAATAGTTAGCGTTACAAAGAATTGCGTCTTGTACCGTGTGTGTATTTGGTGAGAACGCGCTAGTTTATGGATATTGGGCTGACTAAACTTAAACAAAATCGGAGCTCCCTGAGTTTGTCAATCTGAAATGTTTCGAAATTCGGAGCAATGGCTTTTGATGGCAGTGAGCACTTGAACCAGCAAAGTTGATGTCACCAGAAAAAATTTGACACTGGTGAAATTCACACATTTTGCTTCTCAAGAGACTTTTGCTGCGACTTTTGAATTTTTGTTTTACATGCGCATAAGTAAATGCCAATATACTACTAATGAGTCGCTCACCATCCCGATGCGACACAGTTGTTGAAACAGCTCGTGTTAATGGGAAAAAGCATTCCGTTCTAATCCGCCTAACAAGCCAGCATGGGCTGGCGGAGACGTAGCTGTATACAGTAAACCAGTCTCTTTCAAAAGACTGTGGCTTAAAGACTGCACGATTCTACTGAGTAGGGACCAGTATAGGCCGGTTTGACTATAAACGCCTCAAAGCTACACTCCTCAAGTTCACCGCCTCAAACAAAGATCCATGTGGGCGATGTTGTACATAGTTATACTATGGCGCTTCATTCTTTGAAGTCTGCATGATAACTGACATTGACACCCTGGTAAGTGGAAAGCTGTACCTGTGGAAGACATGAAAACCACGACAGAGAACACTTTGATTGCCTCTCATTTCCCGTCATTTCTCGACTAACAGAGGGACAGCAGTGCACGTCTTGAGAAGCACTGTTTAAGGATCCATTCATAGAGCTAAGCAGACGCTAGTCGTGTGGTAATTTTTTTTAGTGAAGATGAAACATGGGTACTTTACACAAAAGTAGCGCGGTCTAAACTTTTGTTATCATCAGGTTATTTACATCAATGAGCCACAGTTTCCCCGATGAATAACGAAAATCCTATACTTCCTTAAGGCACATAAGTCTCAGAGGTCCGGAATTGTTTTGAAAAAGGGGGTCTTCCGAAGTAATGAATCATTAGATGAAATCAGATATGAAATCCATATCGCGACAGTCTGGATAGTATTTGTGAGGTTTGAGTGCGGGCCTAAAATTCTACCTGAATGCGCACGAAGTCATTTGTGCCCGGCTACAGCGGCAATTGTTCGCAGCATAGCTTGGAAAGTTTGCAAAAGATCATTATATAAACGTACCAGAAGCAGATGGAAAAATTGGCAGAAGCATTGGTGCTAATATTGCCTCGTATAATATTAAAATATGAGGGTTCAAACTGAAGATCAAGGCATCTACTGCAAACAAATAGTTTGAGAAATAAAACACTGAAGTGACGAAGAGCATTTTGATGGAGAACTGCGCGAGCCGAGACGATTTTCGCCCACAGTTGAATGTGCTGGACTGGCGGGCTAATTAGTGCCCTTGAATATGTTCACAAGTTAGTCTGTTGTGTATTTTTTTTTGAAAGGATGGTGTCTAGCTGCACATTATATCTATGGAAAGATACCCCTCTAAATCACAAGCTTTGCACATCGATCGGATGCTTTTATGCCTAAACTGCCGTGAATGTTGTCATGCGCCAAACTTGTACAAGCTTGAATCTTAAGCCTGATTCAACATCTCTTTCGAAAAATAGGTAGTTTGATTGCGTTTGTGATGATCCTAGTTGTTTGGTAACGATGCGTTTGCAAGTTAATTGGCGAGTCTGCTATAGATCAACAAACAACATAACCCTTTCTAAGCGTTTGAAGGCTGACGTTTGTATGCACCCTTAGTAGGCTGGTTGATGATGATCAGTTCGCCCAGACTTCACCGATGTTCCTCAATGAGGTTGAAGATGTCAGTAAACCTTTTAAGTAGGTCTGAGTTCTACCACGTTCTGTTGGTTTGTAGGATCAATACCCTCGCATGAAGAGCATCATTAGATTCCTCCAGTCAGGATGGGCACACCTGAATGGTACACTTTCTTTGCGGAAAATAAAGATGGCTAGGGACTAATCAGAATCCGACTGCCCACACACCTCGAAAGCGCGGAATGAGTGTTCCCATTGTGGAAGCCTCCGAACAAAGACAGATTCCTCATGAAAGAGATATAAGTTTCATGGTGATCCAACGATGACATTACGATGACACTAAAAATTATACTCACCAGCAGCGTGTGCACAGTAAAACTTAACTCACTCCGACAAAGTGAGCGCGTATCAAATATACGTATCACTGGTAAACAATGGACATTTCCATATGAATTCAAGCCCTACACGAAGTAATGACTAACACTTTACTGCTCCTTAGTACTTATTTTTTATTTTTAAAAATCCGACGCACGGGGCTAGCCAAGTAGTTTATTTGAGGCTTGTAATAGTTGTGGAATCCCGATTGACTCTGTGGTGTGCCTAATTCTACTTAAACTGGTTTTAGTAGGAGATTTCATGCTTGTGCCTTATGAGGCTTCTTTATACCGAAGACCTTCAATCTGCGCTAGTAATGATTCACCAAGATCGCAAATATCACTTGTTCGCCGCAGGAAGAGGCGGCCATAAAAATCACTTAGTTCCAATTTCGGCTTCAGTAAGGAAGAACCTCGTAGACCCCCAATGTTCTTGCAGTTGGATGCGGTCGGATCAAAAGATGACGGAGTAAAAGAACACAAATCCACTTCAGAGGCAGGGGAGAAGCTGCATCGAAAAAAAACACTGCAAGTCTCTCCAACATGCAGCATTTGAAACAAGGTCCACTAGAGTGCTAAAGAAGGGTTCCAGCGACCAACGGAGCTAAATTCCAGTGCGAGGAGCAAATATCTTTCGAATAAAGAACAACTTCCAAAGTGTGTGATTTTTTGGTTCCATTTTACCTGCGTCGGTTTATTTAGATCCGGAAGTTCAAGTGAAAATGGATGGCAGATCAACCCTGCAGCTTTTTATCCCAGCCTTATGTCCTTACTCGTAATGATCATCCAGTCAAAAGCTGGCGTCGTGTGTCAAGGAACGCAGAAAACTATTGGCGCTACGTACAAATGTTCTTTAAACGTACTACTTGAAAAACTTCATCCGAAATCGCCGAAAGCTCTTGGTAATTTTCCCTTGCTTGGTTTCAATCAGATTGTTGTGATATTCTAACTGCTCCATCTAAAATTTTGTGTGCTCCATCAATCACTGAATTCACTTAGGCCATGTGATTACAGGATACTAAATACTAAGGCGTACGACCAATGCGAGATTTGATCTCCTAATTACTGGGAAAGAAGAGAGAAAAATCATTTGTTTCGGTGCACTGCAAACCTACGACCGTAACTGAAAATGGGTTGTGTCAAGTAGTCTATACACAGAATCTGTCCTCTGAACTTTCCATAGGAATGTTGTTGGATTTTTCAAATATGGCTGGTGAAATAAGCTTGCAAGCTACAATGTCCTTGCCAACACGCTAATTTTGTGCTCTGATTGAAATGCAAACATTTTGTGGTAGACTGGGCATACGAGCAGTTCGCTTTAATAAATCTTTCTCAAAATCTAATGCTTCTGACCAGAAAGTACCTGTTGGTATCAACCTACCTGCTTTTAATAAAGGAAGCTACTCACAAGGTTGCTGAAAACTCTTTGACAGCCCATGACCGGTTTCGCCCTTCTTGGGGCTCATCAGGTAGGCGCAGTCCCCGAGTTTCCGTCAACCTTATGATCTACTTGAACCCCAATTGCACCGTTTTCGAGAAATACATTCATTTGCAAATCAATTTGGTTTTCACGAGAGACCTAACTGAATCTCTCGTTTATGATATGACAAGATCATAGGACAGCTTGCGTTCAGAGAGGGGAGGTACAGACGCATAACGGAAACGACAAAACGAGAAATGCTGTCTGTGTCAAGTGACCAGCAAAATTATAATTTCAGACTTTCTACCTTCTCCAATAGCTGTCTGTTCACTTCAGTCACGGAGTGAAAATAATCGAAGAGGAGCACCGATCACCAAAAGACAATGAGCACGATTTGACAACCAAAGTTCATTCTTAAAACAGGTTACTTAGTTATATTTGGACAGAGAACTGTTAAGTTTACCGTCTGGAAAATCGCACCCTTAACAGTCAAGTAGCACTTGGTATCAAAAAGATCAAGTGATGACAACGTTTTTATAATTATTTCAATTGACAACACTTTTGAGCCTGCATGTCACTGGGATTGAATGAGATAAATCTTACAAGTTTATTAGTAACGAACTGCAGAACTTGGAACGTGTGACTTCCCTGGTGAAACAACTGTTTCGGTACGTCACCATTCCGAATCGGCTGTGCAGTGCACTATAATTACCTGTGTAATTTGTAAGATTAAGTTAAAAATACCATGGTGGTGACGTGAGAGTATGTGGAAGGCACAGTTGATGCTAACCACTCTGGACAAAATATCTATTTAGTTTGGCATGTGATCGGGAACGCTGTCGGATTTTTCGGTGCTTTGAAAACTAATGCCATTTTTTTGGGTGATGAAGTTTAATAATGATAGTGATTCCAACCTTGGTACACGTAATAATTCCAAACTAGTGTTTGCGCTCGGTACACATTTAAAGTATATTTCTGAGAACCATTTACAGAAAAGCTGACCTGTGTTGGCCGAATCAATAGGCTGAATTGAAAAACAAATGTGGACCCAGTGTACACAAATAGCAATCACGTTATTGCAGGCATCCATATTCGTGTGAACCCTATCCACACATTTCAGTTAGACCGGACGTTTTGCAAACTTGAGTGAACCTACCTTGATCGTATTTTCCGGTAGTTTCAAATCTTGCGCAAGTTTACTTCGTTGTGGCCGGCTAATATAGCGCTCCGCCTGATAAGTTTGCTCAAGTATTCTAAGCTGTTGTTGGCTGTAGCTGGTTCGATAGCGCTTCAGTAAATCTGCTTGTTCGTCTTCAGTGCAAGATTTGTCAGCAGATCGACGTTTGCAACTTGATTCGGCAATGGAGGGCTTCTGAAAATTGTTCAGTGTCGTCCTCTTTATTGGCTCTGCACCCAGATTTCTGTCTTTTTGATAAGGTAACGATAATACACCAACGGCTCCCTGCATACTTGTCGGCGAACCTGTAACTGGGTGATGTCGGAATTCATCAGACAGCATTAATTTATCCTCAACCGCGTATGTAGAGACTTCTTTGGTGGACCGCAACGGGGATTCATTGTGCGTCAGAGGTAGGCTGTGAGCGGCGGGACCATTTCTTTGTTGATATTCTGTAGACGTTATTTCGCGCTTCTGCACCACTTCACTATGAGGAGTTGTGCAAAAGGTGAGCATGTGATTGATAATTGAATTTTGCAGGTACGGATGCACAGAAGACAGCTGATTGAACAGATCGGACCAAGAACAATTCTCTTCAACTGTAAATCTTGGTACAAGTCCAGCTGTTTGTACGCACTTTGGAAATAAGATCTCATTAATAAGAGGTGATACGCGATTCGGAAGGTGCGATGACACATATTCTCCATACGGATAGTACGGATTCATATCGATGGACCTAAAAAGATTCAAAATGATGGATAAACGCACTCAAGATACCTGCAGGACTATTTTGCTACAGAGAAACGGCTAAGAAGTACCGGTATTTGTGAAGGAAAAACATGGATTAGATTATTTTGTTCTCAACATACGTTAGGTAGTAGTGTTTCCAGTGTAAGATGCAAGTCACACACCACAGGGAACATGTGAATTATTAACGTATAGTGCGAATCGCTGCAGAGTCTCCTTGAATGAGGATTCTGTGAAATGTCGTTCGCGCAACTTGACTGAACTAATTCATTGCTCAGTGTTTCCTTGAACTTAAAAAGTTGTTATGCTGCAGTAGTGAACGCGTTGCCTTTGAGCTCTGCAGCTATTTACTGTTCTTCTGGTCACCAAACGTTACTGCACTGGCGGCCGAAAGGCACCTCAGCTCACACCCAGGCTGAGATTAAACCAACTCAACTCCGTTGTGAGATGCAACTGGACGCGGATTTGGCCTCCCGAAATTGAACTAACTCCGTCGAGCTTCGATTGTGTTGTTGAACCTTTTAAGGTGAATTCGGCCTCGGATAGTAATCACTGCTGTTGGTCCTTTCAGGAAAACCGTTTAGAGGATGATAAATAGGTTACTGAAAGTATGTTCAATAACAGTGACATAGTGTGTTAAACCCTTGGGAGAGCTGTCTACGGTTGGTTTGAACGTATTAGTGATTTGCCTTTTTCAGCAGCCATTAATTTTGCTCTGGCTAATATGTCTAACAGGTTTTAAGATGGATTCTTCAACGCGGTTTACCGTTTCGCTTCACGTGCTTCTAAAATTTAAACTGTATTCCTTCATATTACTTTACAGATTCAAGTGAATTCGCCTACGGAATGTTCCTCACCATTCAACATCTATTAAAGTTTCGGCCAGAAAACATCAGCACACTGTGCGACAAACAAACTTGCTGAAGAAACTGTGATGTAAGCGAGTTGATTTAACCAAGGTTGGCTTCGAAATAAGTAGCTCTATCAAAAAAAGAAATATGTTTTGGTTTTTCAACTGATTCACTAAAATACATTCATCCCGAATGTCTGTTCCCAAAACTTGAATCCAGTGGCGTTTAAAACCGAAGCTTAGGCATCCAAGCCCATCTCTTTACGTGAGTTTAGCTGAGAAGCAAAATTGTTTGCAGCGCACGAGTCCTGGTGGAAAATGAAAACACCAAGTAGCCAGAACACCCAGATGGTGTCAGCACATCAATAGGTACTTTGTTGAACTGGAGCCTCCTCAAAAGATTGTGGCATTAATATGAAATAGGAAATTCATTGGAGATAACCGGCGTAATTTTTGACGGAACAGTCTACTCATAAGTCGGCTGAACAATCACTGACGTTCCGAGACTGCTTTAGTCCTTCTTGGGGTTTGTCAGGTAGACTCGGTTCTCCAGTTTCTGCTACACCTGTGTTCTACCTGAAAACTGACATTATACGATAAGCGAAACGCATGCATTTGCGTACTAATTTGATTTGAATGTGAACAACACAAACGTGATGTTCAGCTGGATTTACTTAGATTTCCCGGTGAAACCAAAGAAAGGCGTAAGTGAAAGGTGTTGGATATTTCTCCTCCAATATTCAACTACGGCACCATAAAAACATAAGTAGAAACAAAAAATATCAGGCGAATTTAGATTCAAAGTAAATTCCTAACCTGTTTATTGGTATCCGTATCCGGAGTGTTGGATTTCTTCGAATAAGGGTTGTAAATCCATCAACTTATAATAAGGTGGAAACCATATCTAAGGCGACAGTCGGATTTCCAATGATTGGCCGACCAGTTTGGCGGAGAATTTCAAACCCGCATTTACCTGCTTCCCCTGTGACCGGACTAACGTGGGGATGAAGGATGAGGGTGTTTTATGATTGGTCAGCTGCAATCAGTTCCGAAACTATCCTCATCCCAAGAAGCTTTCATTAACGAAACACGTGCGCAATTAAACACTCGGTACAAATATCCTCATTTGTGAACTGATTTGCGTGTGAACTTTTGGGACTTCCTCCTTCCTATGAGTAGTGTATTACCTCTATACAACATACTGCCTATCAGTTTATTTGGCATCTGACCAACTGAATGATTTACCGTGTTGATGTTTCTCGGGTATTTAGTTTGTAAACGTTGTTAGTGACTTTGGAGACCCTATCATTTACAAGGTGGGCTTTTTATCTGATCTCGTATACATTATATTCTGAAGATAATAGCGTCCGGAATGGGGAGGGACCAGACCGCTGACAAGTGTGATCTGTATGCTTTTGTGTACGACTTTAAGCTAATGAAATGAGTCATCTCCAAATTTGCTAATATTACGCACACTGGAGATGCATCTCTACTGGCAGATTTTTAATGACAACTGGCGCCTACTTTCTTGATCAGGACAACAACAGAATTTCTTTTAATACTGGAGTGTCGATTTTTTCTGAAGCAGTAAAGATACCGTAGTCCCGAGTGTTTTTTGCAATAGGATAAAAAGAGTACCACCTGCAGCGTGGTTACTCCTGACTGTTATTCCTTCGCGATTGATAGCACCTATAACCGAACCTCACGAGTGAATCACCGTCCGGCTAACTCTCTGACATACAAACACTCATCATATCACTCACAATTTTACTGCGGTCTTGTGGCATCTCGATAGGATTTTCATTGAAAGCGTTGGTAATACAGCTTGGGTAACACGGCGTACTTTTTTGCGTTACTGAAGAGAAATAATATCTGCAACATTGACAGGTGCGACGAAAGCTCGTTTTAAAAACTGGGGAACAAAGTTGACCCATACGCACTAGACATTTTTAAACACTGGAATCAAAAGAGGCTTCCGACTGCAGCACAATATAATAAGGGGATGCCACTTCAGTCCTATGAAATGTGAAGTCTGCAAAATCGAACGAGTTTGGCTTGGGTGTAGCTCTGAGGAGTGATCGGAATATCCCTAGGGGCCAAAAAGGTCAAATAGGATGAACGAGGAGGATGCGACAAAGGTAGGACTTCTAGGAAAAGCATAAGCGGCCGAATAGAGAGACGGTGCCCACTCAAATTATCCACATTGCTTCCATGTATTTATGTGTAGCTTTAGCTGAGCTCCATTAGTAGCCTGCCACGCAACTTCAACAGAAAGTATGCTTCAATCTCCACATGTTGCAGCTTCTGGTGATGAGCACTGTTGATAACGTAAAACTAAAGAATTGCCCATCACAGTTGATCAGTCTTGCCATTATTTACCACAAGGTTTAGCAGAACCTTGTGACTCACTCTGATGTACGGTACGAATTTTTCAACCCGCCTACAAAGTCTTTCTCCAGAAGACCTACCGGACATTTCAATAACAGTATTACACTACGCGCTTTCTATAAACATCAGACACGACAACCTTTTTTGTATCTTGGTAGTATCCGGGAGCGTAAGTGAAGTAAAGCACTTTTCATGCCAAGGTATGTCGACTTGTACATTTCCATTCAAACCGTCTGAACACAGAAAGATCCCCTGAAAAATCTAGTGAGAATGACACTCTGTATCAACTGACACATCTAGTACGTGTAATAAAAGCCAACACGAGTGGTCAACGTGGGTCGTATTTGCTCAGCTCCTCTGCTGGCATACGTTCAAAAAATGCATGCAGGATCTTGATAACAACCCTGTGACCATATGTGCGTTCGCCAGAGTTCCTGATCCCATTGTGCATATTCAAGAAGTCTGGTCAATAATTACTGCTATACTAAAGGTTCAGAGTAACTTTTGTGAAGGTGGGTGGTTTTCATGCTTACGTAATCTTTCTGTGATATCCAGAAGATTACTATTAGGATGTTTCACCAAAGGCTCTCGAAGCCTTTATTTCAGGCGTGCAGTCGTTCTTCGTACACAGCTTATGGGGACACTGTGACTTCTTATTCTGTTGAGTATCAATCTCAGTACAAATACACTACCACCCGAAATTGGCCAGATACCCGAGGCTTAAACAAAAGAGATCCTGTCTTCTTACCGATTCTATTTTGCTCCTTCATTCTAAACAGGTACGTGTAGGTGCCCGCAACAAAAAGCCAGAAGAACTAGAAAGATGAACAGGCTGATTTATCCAGTAATTATTGTCTGAGTTATGCAGAGTAGCAAAGTTGTTTGGTAAAACAGCATAATGAATGCGTAGGTCGAAGGCCTCACTATTTCATTTTATAACCCCTAAAGCCACTGTTTGATGGTCTGACATCACAACCCGATTAATGGTAATCCGGAGCGAAACAGTGACCCCCCGTCTGATTTTCATTCTTATTCCCTAAAAAACGTTAGTATGTATACTAATTGAAGGTTTATATGTGGGATATTCTGACGGAAGTCACGGCGGTGAGCTGAACCACCTCCTCGTGGTGCCGACCGAGTAGCCTGGACGTCAATCTGGGTAAGCTGAGAGTTCAGTAACTCCAAACAGGATTAACCACTGTGTTTGGTTTCAATGTGCTGATTACTTTCGACAGTGTATACTACGAATCATCTGGCGCCTCCGCACCAGTTCCAACCAGTACACAGGAGAGACTCGTTAGGTTCACGTGTGAGGAATGTGGAAAGTGCTGCAAATCGAAAGGTGGCTTGGTAGCCCACCATCGTGCTCATGACAATGAAAGTGTTGGTACGAACATGGTTGCCCAATTGGCCTGCGCTGATTGTTCCCGCCTTTTTCCGACGAAGATTGGCCTAAGTCAACACCGCTGGCACGCATGCCCCACCTAGAATAACGCCGAAAAACTTGGTCGAGTGAAAAATTTCGGTGTTGGAGGGTCACAACAAGAGTCACAATGGCTCTTGTTAAGAATTTATATCCGTCTTGCGACAGGCACATCGCCTATTGATGAAATTGGAGTGGTGTTTTCCAGGTTGATCGGCTAGCAGTATTAAAAGCAGGTTACATGGGCGTAAAAGCACAACAGGACGAATCATCATCTGGTGGCCCTGACCAAACCATCGGTCAAACAGCGATCTACCCACGAGAAGCC